TGGACTGTGGGAGGAAGCCAGAGTACCTGGAGAGAACCCACACAAGCACGGGGAGAACATGCAAACTCTACACAGAAAGGTCCCAGGTGGGGCCTGAACCCATAACCTTCTCGCTGTGAGGCAACAGTGCTAACCACTGCACCACCGTGGTGGAATTAAAATCTGGTGAAACCTTCTGGGATTAGAGTATGTTCTTTCCAAAAGCTTCTCCAAAGCCTATTTTGAGGCTTTTAGTGACCCTCCCTTTTTCCTGGCAAAAAGGGATTTCACAAATTTGAATGGGCCTTTGAAGAACTGAATGTTAATTTGATGATAGAAACCAAATGGGAGAGAGGACTCTGGTATAACAATAAGTGTAAGCAAGATTCCCCCAGTTCCTGACCTTGAAATTAGTTTTGCCTGTCTGTGTATGTTGGTTGCAAAGCCAGTTTGTTGTGTTGCTGTGCTGAACAAGATATCTCAGAACCATGTCTCTTTGAAGAAGTGTCACTCCACTTAGGTTAGGTTCAGGTTAAAGCATAGCCTAGGGGGAAACATCTTGACAGGAGAACAGGCTCCACAGGCACAACACATGAAAAAACAGTCTGTATGGATCTATAAATGAAAATGATTGATTATGATTTGAGAAGTGCCAAGTCAGATCCCATTAGACACAGCCATCCGTTGTGTTAACATTCATTAAATGTTGTGTAAATCACTGTAAGCCACTCTTCAAACTGGTCAGTAAGAGCTTGATATGCTGCCTGAAATGTGGGAGACATTGGATTACTGGAGTTTACTAATAATGACTTCCTTGTCAACTTTCTTTGCAGCTTTTTCAGCAGTTCATATTTTACTCTTGAAACACTGGATTGGCATGATCATACAGGAAGTAGGCTAAGCCTAGTCAAACCATCCATTCATCAATCCAATACCTATAGCACTTATTCCTGAATAGGGTCACAGGGGGCTGGAGCCAATCCCAGCTGACACTGGGCAAAAAGTGGGGTCCACCATGGACAGGTCACCAGTTTGCCACAGGGCTGACATGTAGGCAAACAACCTTCTAAATAGCTTTTGGCAGAGAGCTGCTCCTGCAATGGAGTTTAGAGTTCTGGAAAATATAAGGAGCACTGGAGTAATATGCTGGTTTTCCCTCTCATTTGTCATCCAACATCACCTTTCAAATACCAGTACTGTGTTAGATGAAAAATATTTGGTGAACCTCCCCATTGTTTCACTGCATTTGATCCCTACTGTAGGCTACTTGAGCACCTGGGTTACATCAGGTTGTGTTTGTAGGCATTTCATCTTGCTGCATTGCAGTTTAAGACATGAGCCACACGGTGTCAGTGTCATGCAGTTAAGGAAATGGTGTAGTGAGCTGCCAGTTCAAAATACTGTATAAAAAGTATAAATGTCATTTTCCCCACTTCAACACTTAGATATGAGATGGGAATTGGAGTGAGTAGGGAAACATATGCCTTTGATTTGAATGCCTCTACGGTGTCTATAAACTAGTTTTTAGCTACAGGCCAGTACTGTTCTCTGCCTGCTGGACAGTGATGGTGCACTATGGGCTACATTAGTCATCAGTCCCAGAGGTGTTATATGCACATCTATAAGGTTTACTGAGTCTTCTGTAGTTGCAGACTGAAAGACACATAGCTGAGACTGAAGAACGATTGATCCAGAGGCAACAAGGAAGCCACAAAGAGAGAGGCGAGAGTTACTTCCTTGGTTGCCATGGCAACATACCTGCTCCTCAGTACAGCATATACCTGAGCACAGAGAGAGAGAGGTCTGTCTGATGTGAAAGAAGCAAGAGCGAGATACAGAAAGACAGAGAATGAGCCCAACAGACACAGAGAGAGGCAGAGACGAGGCGTGCATTTTAACAGTTCATTGAATTACATAGAACTCCCCAAATACTGAGTAATATATTGCATTCTGATCAGGATTCACCATTTACATTATGTTCAACACACCAACACTGGCACAAAGACAGAAATACACACAGCTTGATGGGAATAGCTCACATTCCAAACAAGCCCTCAGCACAGCCTACAATTTGACAGAACCTACTCGAACTCGCCACACATGTGGGTGGAAATTCAATGAATCTAAAAAAATAAAGGTTACTTCCATCCAGAGCCTCCAAAACTCCTCTGGAAATCTCAACAAAAATGATTGCACTATAACCATATATTTATTAAGATAGGTTTATTTGTGTACTTGAGTAACTTATATGTTATCTAGTATATTACTATACTATTACTATATTACTATATTACCATAAGCCAAACAAATAAACTACTGTATTGTAATTAACAAATCACCTTAAGATGTGCTGTGGAACACGATGAAAAATATTCATGTCATGTTATTAAGCAAACAAAGAATTCCAAGGTAAAAACTCTTTCAAAGCAAACACAATAGAATTTGTGACATTTGTTGTTGTTTTTTCTGAAAGAAACAAGGCTACAGCCATTGTAGAATATCTGCAAGGCTCATTAGACACCTGACAATTTGGGTGCAAAGGTAACCTTTGAGGGTCTGATGGTGAAAGCAGAAGAAACGTCTTGCTGTTATCTAAAGTTGTGTTATCTCCTGTATAGTGGCTATTTTACAACATATCAGACTCAGCTGTCAGGCTCAGCTTTTCTTAGTCAGACTAAGCTTGAAAGTATGATTCAGGTATAACTTTTAGACTGTCCTGCCATTAAAACAAACAAACAAACAAAACCATTGTGACACATAGCCTAGTTATTTTTTATTGTTAAGTCATGGTGTGAGACAGCATCAGTCTTTTCATTTATGTTGGTGACAAAGTCCTTTAGTGACCATAGTAATTATGATGGGAACAAAGGAGGAAGTGTAGAGAGAATGTGTGGAGCAGGTGGAGGTGGACAGATGCGTCGACAACACATGGACTGCTGTTTGTTTCTCATTTCCAGCTGACAGATGTTGTTTCCAGTATGACTGTTCATGTCTAATCATGGCAACAAAAATCCTTTAACTTTAATGGAGTACTTATTTTGATTATTTTTAATATTTTCCTAAACCTAACTAAGTTGTTTTTGGGCCTAAACCTAAATAAGCTTTTACTAAAGCAGTGTCACATAATAAAGAAGGACCTATTTATTTTTCAAAGGTTATTATTAACAACTTATTTGTGGCCTATCTCCTGCCAATGCAGGGGCACTGATCCAGGCTGATTTAAGCTCTCCTGTGAGTTGTATTAGATGACAGGGACGAACAACCCACAGTATATGGTTGTTTAGGCTTTCTTTCACACACAAAAAGCAAAAAAAAACTATATTATTCATCACAGTTATGACAAACATTTTCACAACTAGTTTAAATTGGTAATTTCCATCTGAGCTTGGCAAATTTGGCTGCCTTGACACCATGTCTTACTTTTAGAGGAAGTAACTGAGTTTTGAGGAAATTCAGACATTGCTAGTTGTTTTTTGTCTTCTTGTGTTTATTACTTGTTATTCTGTCTTTTATTCTGCTTTCATTCCATTTTATTTGGTGGATATTGGGGGCCACTGAACTGGAGTAAAAATTACTTGTATTTTTTACATATTTAGCAAAAAAGATTATGATCACTGATTGATTGATTGAGTGATTGATTGACATGTTGTGCATGTACGTGTTCTCCATATCAAAAATTGCAACAGTAAGTCAACAAACTATTTTTTATAGAAGTTGCAACATATGAAACTCTTCCACCACCAGAAAAGTAACAATACTGAATTTAATGTCTGCAGGCTATCTCATGGTCTCTTACTGTATGTCCACAGCTCAATGACCCACAGAATTTAGCCTTGACCTTAGGCTGTAACATTTTAACTACTGCAAGTATCAGGGGAAAGAAAAAAAAATGGCAAGATTAAATTCTCTCCTCACTTGCTGCTTTAAAGTTCCTTAGATTTGTGTTACTGCTTATTTAGATTTCTGTTATTGCTCATCAACTTTATATTTCACTTGTATTGTATGGCATTAATGTGTATGGCAAAGAATTTCATTGTACGGCGAAACACGTTTCTTAACTGTGTATATGACAAATAAACACTTTGACCTTTGACCTTCTCATGGTATATGGCTGTATTTTGTTAATTTTCAATTCATTAAAAATATTAAAATTTAGCTCATACAGGGAATTCAGTATAGTGCAGATGAAGTGGTTATAATTTTATATCCTGTGTAGTGACAAATGTTCATAATCAATAATAAAAACAATTAAAGTCATTATGAAACTTTTATTCACCCTTTCATCCAAAATAAGGTAATGTCATGTCAGCATCAAATCTAGGTCAGGAACAGGGTCATAAAGGTAGACTTAAATATGCTTACGCCAAATGAAAAATCACAGGGTTATCCTGGGTCGATGTATAGGTATGAAAGTGGATAAGAGTGTGGGAGCTGTAGCTTTGGTTTGAAATTGATTTTGCACACTGTACAGATTTTGTTTGTATGGAGTTTACAGGTTATTATTACAATCTGAAGATGAAAAAGCAGCCCTAAGTGTTTGAAATATATCACAATGTTAAACCTGTAACTGTAACGTTATATATCACACAGGCTTTACAGCTGTGTTTCTCTAGGTGGAACTGCTTGCTACCTGCATCTCATGCTGCAGTAGTCTGACAAGAGAAACAGAAGGCTAGTATCAGCAATACCAGTAAATAAGATGAACAAAATATATTACATTCTATAATATATATACATAATGTTTCTGCATGTTGTAGCCTAGAATTGTAATGTTCCTTCATGGTTTTCTGGGACCCACACTGAATTCAATGTTTGCATCTATCCTTAGGGCCTCTTTTTGTTTTCTTAGCAGTGCTAATTCAACCAAGCCTGCAAATGAAGGCGGGCAATTATATGCCAGAAATGTTCTGACAGACAGCTAAAGGATGCAATAAGAAAACCAAATTGGTCGTTCAAATCAGCCAATGGGAGAAGCGGAGCACCGCGATGCTCCTCTGAGGGCCACGTAGGGCGGTGCTTATCAAAGGGGACCCACCCCTCAAGGCCGCGGGGTTTGGTTGCACACAGGCTGCAGTTTCAGTTTGTTTTATTCACCATTTTGAGTAGCTGAAGGTAAAAAAAATAAGAATATTTGCGTTTGGAGGACAGGTCGCTGCCGTACTTTTGTTTTCACGCGCTAGCTCGGACGGCGTAGTTGTGCGCCAACCTCGCTTCCCTCGGTGTTTTGCAGAGCGGGAATCTATATTTCTGTTTTCCCCTGTGCTTTTTCTTCTCCCCCCTTTCTTAAATCCTTAACCTCTACAGTATTCCTGCAAAATGTCAAGACCAGTGAGGTAGGTGTGCTAAATCTGTCCTCTGCTCTCTCTAAATTAATAACGACACCGTGCTGGCAGGCATCGTACATAACATGCATGGGTCGACTGTGTTGTGGTTTATGTGCTGGGAATGTGTTTATTTCATGAAAAAATAATGGGAATGTGTGCGTGTGCGTTGCCCTTCTTGTGTAAGCACCCTCTTTTTCTAACATGGATCCCAGCAGTGTGGACCGTGCGCCATGTCTTGTGGAGATACGCGCAGCCCGCCGCCGTGTCGTGTCTATCATGCTTTTAAACGGATCCAAGATGTCTATTGTTGGCTGCTATGTAGGCCAAGCGGAAAATTAGGCGGTATGATTTAACCAGCTACGCTTTACGGCTCACTTAAGCCAGGCCTTTTTTCCGTCGCTGTCTGAGAACGAGAATATGGCTACCCATTCATCCAGGGGAGGCTCCAAACTGTTAATACCCCCACCAAAAAAGAGTCGGCCTCGGTATTTGATCTTGCTGCCGCGCAAGACTCGGCATGTCAGTGCTGTGGTTACCATTTTATCGTATTTTATGGCATTTAAACCGTAAACCGTTTTTGTAGTTTCAGAACAACAGACCATCGTTTGGGTTGTTGGTTAAAGAAAATGTCGTTAGGTAGTCGGGGTACATTTTCAGCTCTAGCAGTAAATTAACACTGCTGGCTGATGTCAAGGGAGGGCGGGGAACTAGGGTCGCCACACCCCCAGTGCAAGAGCCCCACTGTGATTGAAACGCATGTGGTGTCTCCAGGTTTTGTTAATGAGGGCTGTCCCGAATGGCAGTTTTTGTATTCCGGATATTCGGTGGTAATAATTTGCTAATATTCGAATGCTCCCTGACATTATGCTGCAGCTAAAAGTTCGTGTTTGCCCATCTGCCAGTACTTTGGCTTCAAAGACAAAACAAAAAGCTAATGAAAGTTATTTTGTTATATTTTATGTACCCTTTAAACCTCGGATCCAGTGCTGTAGATCTATTGAAGACAGTCCTGTAGATTGGGGGGTGCAGTGTATCTTTGATTCAGGTCCCCTCTAGTGGCACCTTTGACATCTCTTGTGATTGTGCAGTCCTCCTCATTTGGGGCCATGGTTTGCAGAATCCTTCTTTTCAGAGGTAGAATGATGAACACAGATGGGGCATTTTCAGTGCTTAGTAGGGTTGTGACTGTTTTGAGGGATTTGAGCAGCTGGAGGACATCTTTCACATCATCAGAAAAGGTGATTATCTTTTATATTTTTTTCACGGTCTTGTGTGTTAGTGCTGAGTACACAGCTGCCTGCTGCTCAGGATAGCTGTCCATCATGCCATAAGTTTTGTTCCATCATGTTTTGGCATCAGGAATGAGCATGTAGGGTGGTAGCTGCAGCAATTCTTGCTTGGTCTTAAGCACATGAGAGACTGTTGTGCTTTCATGGAAACGGAAACCACCTTCCTGATCCTCCCAAGGAGGCGGTCCATCTGATTCACTGATTTTTGGATGCTAAATTAGTTACATGTGCAAAGCAAGCTATCTGTGGCCCCAGTCCAGCTTCTGTCACTGCATTTACTTAGTTCTTGGTGTTATCTGTTGTGACTGAGATATTGCTGTTGGGCCTGTATAGCTTCCACTCGGCTGCTGCCTTTTTCAGTATCAGTGCCAGATTTGTGCTTGTGCGGCTCTCATAAAGGGGGTGTGTGTGTGTAGCACTGAACTTCACATCTCCCACTCAGCTGTGATGTAGTGAGCAATCACAGTCACATAACATTCAGTTGCCCTGGATGTCCATCTGTCTGTGGTGAAAGCAATAGAGGGTGCTTTGGATAATTTGTTGATGATTTTGGTCTTTTCCTGTTCATAAAGATCTGACATGACCTTCATACTAAAGTGTTTACGTGAGGTGATTTTGTAGCGTGGCTCAAGCACTTTCACCATATGTTTTAACCCTTTGTTTTCCACAACAAAAGTATGGCATCATGTCGGCAGTAATAAACATCCCAATAGATTTGGTGATAACTTTAGCCCAGTCTGATTCTGCAGCAAAGGGCTGCTCAAATGCTGCGGTGAGAAGTGTTTGTGTTTTGACTCCCAGTCCCCTTCACTGACACATTAGGGTGATGTCGCTTATACATTCAACTTAAATGATGGATCCTTTACTAATATCGCACTGTAACAGAAGCCTACTCTGTTACAAGTAGAAGTCTTGCATTGAAAATGTTAAGTAAAATTAAGTATTATTATGAAAATGTACTTCAAGTATTAAAAGTAGGAGTACACTAATCGCAGAAAAACGTCATACTGTCTATCCTACACTGTTTAATCATTACATTAATGGGGAGGCGACCGTGGTGCGGTGGGTAGAGCAGTCGTCTCCCAACCAGAAGGTTCAAGGTTCAAATCTCAGTACCTGCAGTCCACGTGTCCTTGGGCAAGAGACTGAATCCCCCCATTGCCCCCGATGGTTAGAGCAATCGGTTGAGTTGGCGCCGCAGATGGCTGCCATCAGTTCTGTACCGGAAACAAATTCCTTGTGTGTAACATACTTGGCCAAATAAAGGTGATTGTTAATGTATAAGTTAGCGTACACCCTATGATGATAAAAAAAAAAAATTTAACATGCACTGATGTAAAAGCAGGATTTGACTGTTGTAGTTGGTTGAGGTGGAGCTCTGCTGGACTAGTTTGTATCCAAGTGCAAGTACAGATTATTTCCATTGGGATTAACCTGCTGATTATTGTCTCCATTAATCGATTGACTGGTTTGTAAAATTTATAAAAGTAGTGAGACATGTTGTCACTATGGTCTAAATGATTATCAAAGTAGTTGCTAATTTACTGTAGGTGTGCGACAGCACAGCCAGACTGATCCTGTCTGTACCTCCACTCACACACGCACAAGCACACTTTTATGAGAGCCGGGAAAGTTTGTGTGTTTCTGGGGTCAGAGTGGGATCAGTGTGAGTCTTGTTGTAAGTCAGAGATTAGTAAAAGAACAGACTGGAAAATTATTTTGATAGTGCATTTTATGGCCAACATTTATATGCTCACACATTTTATTAATTGGGATTAAAGTTATAAATGTGCCACATACTTTGATCTGCACTGCTCTCGGAGGTGTTCTTTTTTTATTTTATCCAAAGTAATCCCACACTGCTGATTTTAATTTCTTTTTCACCGAATGAGGTTTGGTGTCAGGCTATCAGCCTTCTCCTCTCTGCCATTTGTCTGCTGCATGTGTGCGTGTGGTGCCTGTTGCGGAGTCTGACAGGCAGTCGGGGAAGAAAAGTGCACACGCATTGCTTTTTTTTTTTTTCCCTTCAGTACCAGTAATAAGCACAGGTGCATGGTTATGATAACCATCTATTTTCATACCATGAGTAATTGTCAAGTAGTTCCCAGCAAATATCAAGTAGTATTTTATCTTTAAATGCCCAGCCCTAGTTTTTTGGTAGGTTCCTGTGGTGTAAAAATTTTCTAGGCAGAGTTTGCAGATGATCTCAGGTAGCACCAGCACTGTACATGTGTGACAAAATACATCTTTATTCAGATTTTATGTACAGAAACTTAAATTTGTGCTTGAAAGGTACTGTTCATACAAACCTGCCTTGCCTTAAAAAGTAGCATGAGGGATGATTTTTCAGTGGTTTTAACCTGAACCAAATCAGCCTCTAGAGGTGTGCGTTACCTGAACTAAATTCTCCATGGAAACTATAGAAGGTAAACCAGTGTCCTGTCAAGTGTCCCCTGCTGGAGTGAGTTTGGTTTTTCAAACCACACATTCATACACAGCTGACTTGTTACTGCCAGGTGAATTGCTGGACATCACATATACGTATTGCCAAACCCCCACATCATCTCTGGCATGTCTAATGTCAGGTGTGGCCAGTGAAGTCGCATTGTTATTGGTCAGCGTAATCTGATGCTGTGTGTGTATTTCTTTACAGGAACAGGAAAGTGGTGAACTACTCACAATTCAATGAGTCTGACGATGCAGGTAAGAGACTTTAGATGTGTTTCAGTGTGTATGGTAACAGGAGTTGGCAATATGGATAAAATCCTTTTGTTATTTTATGTATTTTACAACATGATAACCATTTGATTTCATAGGACATTTTCTGGCAAGATTATTTGTAAATGGATAAATTAAGTGTCTGCTTTTGGTTGGTCTTGGGAATTAAAGATCTGATAAAAGAATGTAATTTAACAACTTGGAGTAAAAATCATATGAAGATCCAAGATTACCATAAAACAGTCCCGTTCAGTGATTAGCAGCATAGTCCACGTGCTGACAGAGGATTTTAGGAATAGCTACCACAGTGTATTGTTAAAATATCTCTGATGATGATGATACTCTTTTATACACTGCCCGGCCACTTTATTAGGTACACCTGTACAGTTGTATGCAATTCAATGTAACATTTCCACCTTAGCATCTGTGTTTATGAAGCTCAGAATGTTTCATTTTTGGTGAAATTGTCATAAATGTATAAATTAAATGTTTATTTTTGAGGTCATAGTTAAAGGTGGTGTTGTACTGGACTACAGTATATTCAGAGGTGTCTCTATATTTTGTCCTCCCCAGCTACATACATGAAAGGGGGCGACCGTGGTTCAGTAGGTAGAGCAGTCGTCGGGTTGGAGGTTTGAAGCTCTGTGCCTGCAGTTCACATGTTGAAGTGTCCATGGGCAAGACACTGAACCCCCCCCCAGTTGCCACCAATGGTTAGAGTAATTGGTTGAGTTGGCGCTGCAGATGGCTGCCTCGGTTCTGTACCAAACAAATTCCATGTGTGTATCATACTTGGCCAAATAAAGGTGACTATCTTTATTGTTATCCTTATCCTTGAAATATCAGGAACACCTCTTCATAAACACAGATGTTAAGGTGGATGTGCTGCATTGAGGTGCATACAAGTGTACAGGTGTACCTAATAAAGTGGCTGGGCACTGTATCTTCTCATGGTATACAGTATGCTCGCCCCTGAGTGGTTAGATATGCTGATACTGGTGTCTGATGTTGGTTTATTAACCAAATAGTGGAGTAAGAAGTTCGAAAACCTATAAAATATGTAAAAAAAACCCCAAACACCACAGTCTTAAGGATGATAAGGATAAAGGATAATCACCTTTATTTGGCTAAGCATGTTACACACACAAGGAATTTGTTTTCGGTACAGAACCAAGGCAGCCATCTGCGGCGCCAACTCATACCGATGGCTCTAATCATCGGGGCCAACTTGGGGGTTCAGTGTCTTTCCCAAGGACACTTCCAACACATGGACTGCAGGCATCGAGATTAAAACCTCTGTCCCTCTGGGTGGGAGACGACTGCTCTACCCACTGAACCACAGTCATCGTCTTAGTTTATTTTACTGTTAAAGAGTCAGTCCATTATATTGCCCAAAGAATTAGTGCTAGGTGGCAAGACACTTTAGTATCTTTTTAATATTACCATAGAAAAGCAAACAAAGAAATATCAACAGGGGTGACTCGAACAGAAAGCATTTGTTAATGCTAACAAGAACTTGTCTTTGTGTGTGGATATATTTGAGTGAAAGACAAAAATGTTGTCCTTTCTCTGTAGATGAGGAGTATGGTGATGATAAGCCCAAGAAGGTGCGCGCATCCCCTCGTGAGCCCAAGCACAAGCGCTCAAAGAACTCACAGGATGACAGGTGAGCTCTTGATGGAGTTTGGTACCACTGACAGTGTCTGACAACTTTCCAAGTTATGTTCAATAGTAATTAATATTAATAAATAATAATGATAGAACCCACCTGGGTTGGACAAGCACAGTCAGCACTAAGTCACCAGGTTACAGTGGGCAGATACAACAAGAGTAAGATGGTCCAGGCAGATTTTTGAGGTAGAGAGAAAAGGAAATGGGTAGTTGGTCAAATCTGCACACTTCAACCAGCCTGTCTTCAGCAGCATGAAGTGTTGTTAGCTAGCTAACACTAGCTAAACTGTGCAGAAGCTACTTTTAGTGTTTCTGGCAGTTAAACACCTTCATGTGCATTACCACACCCCTCTGGACTGGAGCAGGGCTAGACCTGATTTGTTTGTTGTTCATTGCGAAAGCCAAGACGAATTGCAGTAGATATATGATGTGACCATTAGAGGTCTCTGTTTTCCTAAAATAGGGTGCAGTAGTAAATGCAAGACTAAAATCAGGCAAAAAACACAGTTTGACAACTTTTGGTGCCCACAGGCATTGGTGCATATTGGACACAGCCAAGCTCAGCTTGGAAGAGAGAGGAATGCATTGTCTGTGGGAGGAAAGCATTATGAGCAGGTGGAGTCGGTGCAGCCTTTAGTAATGACCAATCAAACCAGCTCCTCTCATCCCCTTTAAAAGCAGGGTGGAACCCTGACTTTGACTGTTGTCATGATATGAACATATGAGACAAAATATTATTTCTCTTTATCCTCTTCTACTATCAATTATGTACTCTATTCCTAAACTGTGAGGAGAAAACTATGTATTTTAGAAGTATTGCAGAAAAATTGTTCACAGCATAACACAAAGACTAATGAATGGATTTGGACAACAATTTTTGGAGAGGTAGATTGTGCCCAGTGGAACAATCAGTTAGATTTTGGTGCTGATCTGGATCATCGTCCTGATCTAGGAATTTTTTTTTTTTTTAAAGGATTCTTCACCATTATGAGATAGGGCCAGTTTCAGTATTTTTGCTTATTACTCCTCTATATATAATGTTTACAGTGCTTGGACAAATATTGCACAGTAACATCCACATCCGATCTACCACACTAAAGTCTGATCTGGATCTGGTGATCCAGAATGTTCATATTGATAGGGCTCAGGGAAAACTTGCTACTGTGAGACAACAAATAATGCTGCAGAATAGCAACTAAGATCAAATTCTAGCTGAAGCGCTGCTGACTCAGCAGGATGGTAAATGGTCTTATAATTGTATAGTAGGGCTGTTGCTAACGATTATTTTTCTGTCGAATAATCTAACGATCATTTTTTCGATTAGTCGAATAATCGTTTTGTGTATATATATATAAATTTAAGAAAATTAAAAATTTCCAGCCATTGGTCACTTATTTCAAACTTTTCAAATTTTTTATTAAAATGAAAGTTTCTCTTAACTGTACAGAACACACAGTATATAAATAAAATTATAAAATAAATAAAACTAGT